ACGCCTCTTTCGACGTTACACGATCGGCGATCGCGACGTAGCGACAGACTCGCCGTTATCACCCCCAACAATATATAGATATATTATTATAGATAAAAATGGCACAGGCATGCAACATGACATTGCATTACATTACCCTGTTATCATGAATAGTGGAGAATTAATGTGAAAAAATTGAGTGGAAAAAATATAAGAGAGAAAAATCTAGAATAACATAGAAGTATAAACAAATGAAACATATAAATAATAGGCACATATATAAATACATGCACAATTCAACAGTATAAAAAAGATTGGTTAGAGTCTTGTATGTCATCTTTCTAATAAAAATAAACTATTGTTGAAATAAACTCTTACCTGGTGTTCCATTTTGCCTATTGTCTAAATGCCAATAACTTGCTTATATGACTAAACAAACTAAAAGTCAGACTAGAAGATTTTGGAGAGCTCTAGTAACTAGCAGAGTTCAACTAAAGATCAAAAGTATTAAAGTTAATAGCAGAAGAGAGCTGGCCAAATCGTTTATGCCTCAAGTGTTTAATTGAATGCCACTTACCTTCTATCAACATTATCTCGAGACAATAGTGTTAGCGACCGACTTGCTGATTAGCCTGCAACAATATTAATTTGCTAAAAATATTAGATATAAAATTTTTATTGATATAAATATATGTTATTATTTTATCATTATATATCTTCTATAAACTAAACTATTTCTAATCTAAATATAGCTTAATACTATCTAATAATTATTATTTCTAATAATATTAATTTTTCCTAAACTAAACTACTATTATAATTAATTAATCAATTTATATTAAATAGATAAATCCATTTTCAAGTAGAATTTATACAGGATAAAGAAAGTCTTATCATTAGTTTAAATCAACCATTCTATTAATTCAATTATATTTTTTAATTATTTATTAGAAAAAAATTATATGAAATATTATTATAAATACTAATTTCAATATTTCAATTATAGTTATAATTGACTTTTAAAATATACCATTAGTATAATATTATATTATTATTTTTATTACCTGTAAAATTGATACCTTTGCTTGAATTTTGATTTAATCTTGAAGCTCTTACTAGGTTTATTTAGCTTTAACAATTTTACTTAGATTATTACTATTTATAACAAATAACTTTTGTCTTTTTGATTTAATTCAAGTTTAAAAAAACATCATTTTTGGATAGATCTTTAAGCTTTAGATTGGAATTGATCAGTTTATAGTTTCTTTTTTTATTCAAAAATGTATTAAGTCTGTTATGTCAAGAGAAATATAAACTTTTTATAAGAGTTAAATTAAAAACTTTTTCTTATATAATCTTTTTGCTTCAAACTGTTTTTGGCTTATGATTATTGGAAAGACCAGAAATTCTATATTTATACAACTTAACTAAAATAATTAAATATTTTCAATTTTATATATTATATAGTTTAATATATAAGTTTAAAACTTATTTTGATATACTGTATATATATAGTAACAAAGTAGTAAATTAATCAAGTTTAATTTAAGTAATCTATAAGCTTATTGAAATAATATAGAAACTAAATATTATTAAAAATATAGTTTATATTTTTTAAGTTACAGTATTATTAAATAAAATAAAAAAAAAAGCAAGATTATATTAATAAAAAAAAATCAATATATACAGTATATACAGTATATAATAAAAGCTTAATAAAAACTTAAATTTAAAAATATAACAATCATTTTAAAATAGATAAAGAAAGAAAAAACAGTAATAATAAAATATAAAGTATTTAGATTTGTTTAAATAAACTATATTAATAAATTATAAGTAACAATTGTTAATTTTTAGTTTCATATGTAAATAGATAGAAATAAAGAAAGCAATTGTTTTCATTTTTAAAGTTATATTAGAGACAATAATTTAAAACAGATGTTCAAATTTACAAATAATTTATACAATATAATATATTTATATTAATTGTTTTCTGTAAATATTTAATACTACAGAGAGATCTCCCTAAATGCACCCTCTATAAATGCACTTACTATATTTTCTCTCTCTAAATGCACAGTCAAGCTTGGTCCCAAGTACATAGAACTCTTAATAAAATTATCTCCATAAATGCACACCCTCTATAAATGCATATTTTTCAAAAATTTTCCTATGGTCCCAAGGGGTATGCATTTAGAGAGGGTTCATTGTACAAACATTGTATACTTTGACTATCGGGAAAAAATAAGAACAAATATCTTTTTGTTGACACATAAATTTATATAAATATTTAAACTACAATGAAAATTTTTTATGAAAAGTTTTTAATTTATTGAAATTTTTTTATTGGATTTGAATAAATTTGAAAAAAATACAAATGACACAAACAACAAATTAATTATAAAAAAATTTTGTATTATTTTAATCTTTGAGTTCTTTTCAATTTAAATTTTGGCTCAGCTACTATATATACCGTAAAATTTATTTAAATATTTATCCATCAATAATTTGCAATCATATGATCTATATTGGAAAGAGTTTTTCTTTTTGAAAATATTAACAATACATCACCACTTATCATCAAAAATATCAAAAAATAGATCAATTTTAGTTTCTACATTTAACTTTCACCGAAAAATTTAGGATAGGATCTAACTTGAATAAAATCATTACGGTAATGAACGTCAAGAAGGTGGGCTGGCCCAGTCTGACCAAAACTAACAACTTCATTATTTCCGACATACATGGCTACATGTGCTAATTTTTTGGCTGTACCATATAGGACAAGATCCCCTGGCTGGGCTTCAGACAAAGAAATTTTTTTTCCGTGGTCAGCCATTCTTCCGGTATAACCGCCAGTCCAATTAGCATCGTTAAGATAATCTGGACCAGAACCGAAGGCACTCCAATATAGCCATGTAACAAAAGAACTGCAATCAGCGTGAGGTGGCACATCTACTTTGGGACATACTTGATTTCTAATTCCGGACCATCGTTGATACTCTTGAGTGTAGTGGATGGTTTTTTTACTATTAACTGCCCATAAAGCAGCTTCTTTGAGACCATCACGGGTTGCGGAAACTTCTTTACATTTTCTAGGATCCATACTGAATACAATGGGAGCGTAAAGATGATAATAAGAATAGCCTCAGTATCTGGCAAAGTTGAAAAGTGAAATAGTTGCAATGAAAAAATTTAAATGCGTTATTTATATTTTTATCGGATGGTTTTTTTATCAAATAATTTTATTGTAGAGATATTATACCTTACAGATGACATAACTACGTCATTAATTTTTAAGGGAATGATAGTCAGCCGATTTCATTTAAATACTTTTGTAGAAACAATGGTTATGACAAATTCTGAAGGAAATAATGGTATCTATATAATGTATGCGATTAAATTTTTTTCGTGAAAACATGATCAAATTTGTTTAATGAACAAAGTTCCGTGACAATGGAGGATGGCGATAGACGTACAGTTTGGGAAACTTCTTGTTCTAAGGTTATACAAAGTTATTAATATAAGCATATAAACACGAAATTGCAAAGAATAGATTTGGGATCTAAATAATTCACTTATAATCAAGCATACATGACAGTAAGTTGTGGTTTTTTTTATTATTTGCAACATACTACTTTGACCTCTTGTAGTTAATATTAGGTAACATCTGATAAGTTCATCCGTCAGATTAAAGCTGTGTTGAATTTAATGAGCGGTAAATTAGACAGCTCGATCCAATCGTTGATTTCATGTTCAAAATAGAAAATGATTGGACTATTTCAATTGCGCCGACCAGAAACGGCGTCGGGAAATTAATCCTTTAATTACAATTCTCTTTATTATAAAACCGAGGTCCATGTCTGCCATGACGATGGATTTGGTCAGGCATCGATTCAGTCTTTCGAAATTATAATGCATCGTACTCAACTATTAAAGTATTTTTTTTAGTCAATTAAATCATTTTTTTTTGTGTATAAAAATTATACAAATATATCCATTCAAGAAATAGATATTCATAGTTTTCAAAAAAAAAACATTTTCTATACATTAATTGTTTTCAAAAAAATTTTTATTTAGTAATTTTTCAAAATTAAAAAATCTTTTTTTCTTTGTTCTTTAATATCCATACACCTTTTTAACTTTTTTATTTTTATAACAAGAATTCCAAGGACACTAAAGAAATATATTAGTGCATTTGAATGGTTCTCTAATTAAGAAAATCAAGAAAAAAGGTTCATGACAATTACATTTTTTTGAGGAGGTTTTTCCCATAGGCAAACATAATTTCTTTATTTGATATTGTATAACAAGATATACATTGTGAAAGAAACAACATCTCTTATATACATAAAATAGCAAATTAAATGCTAGCTTGCCTATGTATACATATCTATCTAATATTGAAAAAGAAATTCAAAACAATACTATATATTAGCTATGTCTAAATAGTGATTATACCTACCTACTCAGAAAATTTTATAAGTCTTTTTGTAAATTTGTAAGTAAAGTAATTAAAAAAGTGAAAAAAACAAATATAACTAAAACTAAAACTAAAACCAAGTGAAGTAAACTATAAAATCTATAGTTAGAAAACCAATTATTTTTTCAAGAAAATTTCTAAACAGACTTTTTATTCCATCTTTTCAGCTTTTTGATTACTATAGATAATAAAGTATATATAATATTATTTGTTGTTATAATTGTTAATAGTAGTATAATTGACATTGTTATTGTAATTGTTGTTATTTTAATACAAAATTTGAGATAGTATAGCAAATATTGCCATGATATAGTTGAATTTGAAAGTTGACTTGAAACAAACAATAGACTTACTAACTTTGTTTAAGTATATGTTTTGGAAAATATTTGATTTAATGAGTATAATAATGATAATATGAATAGTTTTTATGATAAAATAAGAGTAAAGAGAGATGCAAAAGAACAAAAAAATAAAGAACTATTATAGATATTTTTTTATACAATTAAAAAATAAACAAAATTTCCAAACTTGAATAAACTTTAATCAGAGATTCCATTCTATTGCACTAATTGTTTTGAAAGTTTTTGAGTTCTTAAACTGGAACTCATTTGCAATAAAGAGTATAAAATATTTTTCTTGTTTAAAATTATTATAAAAAGGTTTTTTTAACAAAATAGATATAATTAGAAGAAAGTTTTAATTATTTTTTTACTTATTATTTTTAATTTTTTAAATCATATATACTGTATATATACAGTATGTTACAAAAAAAAATGCCAATTTTTTATAATTATATTTTAATTAATAACCCTATAAATAATTTTTTTTATAATTTAATA